CCTGTACAACAATCCCATTGTCTATCGTTAAACACCTCAACATGCAAGAATGTCCTTTATTCCCTGTTCAAAAAAACCCCTACATCAAACACTAATGCAGTGTCCACAAATTTGCGTGGACTCTGAGTTTTTGACCTCTTTTACTTCAGCAATACCTGCGAGTAACAACGACCAGCGGGCTTACGTATTTTCTTCAAGTGAATGAAACATTACCTAAAGTTAGTAGGCTATCATTCTAGGTTACACGTATCAGCTCTTATTTCGTACCCCCTTGTTTGATCCAGTTTTTATCGCTACAGGACGTATTACACTTCCGTGATCTTTCTTCGTCTTTGGAGTAAGGAGTTCAAAGGAATTGCCAGATCACTGAAGCATACATCCCAGTGTGGTGGCATTTCAAGGCTAAAACCTGTTAACATCATTGTTGCCGGCCATGTCAACTCAAGTAACAAGGAACTAAAACCATACTTCCTTAATCAAAAAGACTTCTATGATCTGCTTAGAGACCTCAAAGTTATCAAGTCGAATGCAGAGTTTCTGACATCTATGTTCAAGGAGTAGAACTAGCTGGATAGAAGTGTGCAAGTCACGGCTCAGAAAAAACATCGGTAACGTTTGCCCAATTTCTTTCCTAATACAGATGGGATGCGTCTCTGCGGCAATGTTCTGGTCTATTCAAGGCTATAGGCATCATTAGTCTTCCCAATGAATAGCGCCTGTGTATAGACAGTTTCTCCATCACCCACAACGCTGTATTGCTTCATAGTGGGAACAAGCATCCGTCTGTACCTATGGCTCATTATGTTTAATCTCAAAGTGGATTACATCAGTATTAATTGTCACTGAATACCTTGAAGTATGACGACTATGGCCGGGAGAGCATTAGAGAATTCAAAACAGTATCATTTCTTATGAGACTCCAACAAGTTTTACTAAAATTTCCCTGCTTATTGCCTGTGGGACAGTCGGGACACCAAGGTATCGTATCATCGTTGAGATTGGTCACAGTATAGAGCGTTCTCAGCTGGAGGAGGACAACGTCATGTGATAGCTTCTTGGAGAAGGTCAAAATGTTCTGAAGCCAATATTGTACCTCAAGTTAGGCATCATCAAACAATGTTCTGGGGCTCTAGACAGCGAGTTGGCAACTTTCAATCACCTTGAAGTGCTCTTCCCAAATATCAGAGACAAAAGTCAACATTTGTACCTTCATTTTACCGCATATAAAAAAGATAACGGAATGCACCTAGTTCGTAGAGAACCTGAGTAGGAAGGAAGAAACCGCCTGGAACAGTCTCTTTTGCTGTGCTTCAAGCTTCCTGGGTAATCACAATGCTGAAAGTCTGAGCAGCTAGTTGCCTATCATAGCTAATTATGCCAAAATAGGATCCAAAAACTCTCAAGATCTATATTCTTAATGCAGGTCTTGATCAATTCAAGGAGAATCTGGGGATTACCCGGAGAAACAAAGCAATTGTGTAAAGCTAGATGAACTAAATTTTGAACTTCGTCAAAAAGACAGCATAAAAAACATGATAGGGGACTACCTCTGGGGTATTTCTGGAGAAGGATCTACACCATAGCTGCAGACCCAGAAAATGTACTAAATTTTGAAAAGCTTGCTGTTGTTATACTCATATTTGTATGCTTCTATGCTAGTAAATGTACCACTTTTTCATTATGCATGTAATAAAAATTTAATGTAAAAGTTTTATTGCTTCGGCTTGCTATATTTTAAATTTTTGTAGTTCGTAGTCATAAAATAATAGTATATAGCACCTATAGGTGATTTGTTTTTATTCGAACCAAAAGCAGTTAATATAACAGTTAGAATCCAGGAATAAAATTCTTGTTACTTGGAGTAATCGTTGACTCTTTCGCTGTCAACGTAAAACTTAACAGCTTCAACAAAAGCCTGATGTCAGAATTCGCTCCAACTTAACAGCCGCCTCTTAAATAAAGCAAAACAAGCAGGCGGTGTAGATTGTTCTTAGACTTAATGTTTCTCCTTAGGGCTAACCGTATGCAACCGTCACTTGCCATCGAATTGTCGTATTATTTCTGGCTTCTACGTGATAGAACAAGCGCTGTGAGTTTATCGTTCACCAACAGCTGTGGCCGATGAAGTGCTTTGACGAAAACGTCAGGAATCGGCGAGACATGTGTAGCAAAAATTTGGCCTGTGTGTAGAAATGCGCGAGTGTTTGGCCCCATCTGCGTCAGTCACCTCCCAATGCGCATCCATTATGAAGGCCATCGATATACAAGTTGGGCGACGCACAGTTCGGGAAGCCCCAACGCGAGGGACAAATCCAGTCAAGCATACAGATGTTACAAGCACTGCAATGGCTAGGGAATTCTTCGTGTCACAACCCCGGCTGTCATGGTCCGTCGCTGGTGCCAGATTCTGCAGCACCTTGATAAAGTACTCCGGAAGAGGGAGATGTTTTGCCTGAGCCAAGCTGGTCACTTACACATTGAACGATGGAACAGTGAAGCAATGATGTATTAAACACAAAAGGTGATTAACAATTCCCGTGAAATGGGCAGAATACGAAGCACAAAATGAAAAAGTGAGCATGGTGATAAAGTGAAAACATTTTGGTGAACTTACAATACTGGTCACATTAAGGCGCGCCTAAATGAGCCTACCACTAGTTTGTAGACAACTACTGGTTGTTGCACCGTTAATTACGTTAGATTGCCTCCCAAAATGCACGGCCTATATGTTGTTGTTTAGGTCCCCAAACAATTCATGGGTGCGAAAACAATCTAATTATCTAGGGCTTTCCATGCCTGGTACAGACGAACAGAGTTGAAGTTCGGGAGACATTCTAGCCGGCTGTTCTGCGTGACCAACTTGCACTGGTGGCGCGTCATGTTCGTGCAATTGCTAGGTACCGTGATCATCCTCAACTAAGCTTTCAGATGAATTTTGCTAACTATTTCGGTCGATGGGGATTTTTCATGGGTGTCCCACCTACCCTCATCAGAAAATCCCATTAGATTGTAGATAACCACACAGTATGTATTCCAGCGGGGGAAAACGGACAAAGAGCCGCTAGATAAGTGTTCCAAATGCGCACAACAATAACTGTTGCGTCACAAGAATGACATTCCTCAACTTTAAGCATAGCTGGGCAACTGACAATCACTAGCTCATTCTTTAAAATCCAAGCCAAGGCTAAAATTGTCCAGTCTAACAGTGCGGCATGCAGTAGAGTAATGTACAATTATTCATTACTCCAGAAAATGATTAGTGATAGTTTGCAGATACCTATCGTGTGAGCTAGATGTACTGTTGTCCGTGCCACTAGGCGTAAACTTTGTAGCTCTGTTTTCTATACCTTCGTAAAAGTGTAATTTGTGTAACAGTGTTAAGGCAGCAAAATGTATATCACAATGGGATGCACCTCTCTTTGTCAAGAAGTAAATTACATCTGTGGCTATCAAAATAATCCTGGGACGCTCATCAGGAATTAACTAGGAGGAACGATGTCATCACCTCCAAGCAAAACTTGTTTACTTGTGACGACTTAAAAACTACTTCGCACTTCTTTACTTTCTGACACATAATTCGCGAGGCTTCACAACTAGCACTATCCCCGAAATACTAATGGCCCAAACTACCGCACTCGCAATGTTTTGGAGGTGTTGAGGATCGATAGCCCCTAAGATCTGTGGGATTGCTCTTGCTGTACACAATTATGCATGTCTATTTAACAGTAACATGCGAGCGCAAAAGCAGTAGCTTATGCGCGATAGTTGGTTCGCAATAAGCTGCATAGTTATTCGAACAAGGTTCGTATTCAACTTTTGGCTCTGTCACAGCGCAGCTTCATTCCAGTAAACAAAAGGTCAGTTATTCCAGTCAACAAATATGACATTCTGACAACGCTCACCGAGACTAGAACTAACGGGTTTCATTTTAACCTCGGCTTCTGAGTGCCTGTGAAGCCGAAGTATATGTGGACAAACTTAACGATCTCCCCCAGTAACGCAATAGTTAACTTAGGCAAGTAGCAACTTGTGGTTTTCTAAACATTCCACAGCAACCATCCGCTCCGATTTTTTGTCCGTGAAATGGAAAAGATTAATGCATGTACACTAATGCTTACGGAATGTGCAGTGGTCTGCCTCCATACCTTGCAATGCGCACGAAACTGACCAACCCGGCAAGTACTAACTTAGGTATAAAATGCATGGGGTCTTAGATTACATGGAGTAAAAGAGGATTGACTCACGCTTTTCAAACTTTCATTCAGACGTTGTACAACGCGGGCGAAGTGGAACGCATGAGGCGGTGGGTTCGACACAGGATCACGGAGTTTTTCGCACCATTGTTCAACTATTTCATCGTCAATGAGTAAGGAGTGGCTGGAGGTTGTTAGTGTTGTCGAAATTACAATGACGACAATGGCGAGCAAACCACGTTCGCACATGCCTTCTCGAGGATCGTTCCTTGCGATTGCGTTTCGTATCCTACAGTTTGTTAGGGCAATTACTGATGAGACGTATCTCGCAGCGAATATAATTTCGTCAGTGAGTGGGTCACGTTTTGAACGAATGAAAACACGACTGTGTACTTCAACCTTATTATGGTGGTTCCGGAATTAGATAATTACCGGAAACGGCAATTATACGCTGATCTGTCGCGGCGGGGGCCATTGATAATGATCGGTTTCACGGGTTTGACAATATTCTTTTTAGATCCACCATACAAGGCTCCATAAACCTAAGTGAACTAAAGGATTTTATGTAACCAATGAGGGCAAACCACCCAGTTTACATGTGACAAACCATCTAGCCAGTAACAGTGAGGTCTGTTACACCCATATACACTACTTGCGGCACAGAATGACAAGATGAATTTAGCAATTCAAGATTGCAAACCTAAAGCTGACAAGCCTACTTTCCTAGTAAACAATCCGCGGGTAATGCTAGGACAGAAAGCTGATGTTGGATAAGATGATACTCTAAACTGATCAGTGCTTTTAAAGAAATTGCAACTAAAGCGCAAAGACCGAAATTCATTGGCAACTTCATTTTCAACGCTGGTCTGATGTACCTAAGCGCAGTGACGGAATGTTGTATAACCCCACGTTTCAAAATGGTGAGGTCGTGATGCACGCTTATGCAGGTTAAGAACGTATATAAGACTAATTGTAACAGTTAACGGGAGCCGCTACCGCAATTACATGGTAATCACCTGGACTCACGTGCGAGCAACATTTTCTTTGTAAAGACCAGATGAGAGAGCTCGGTATAGTGAATATGTGTATGATTATTTGTGTTGGAATATCGGATGTGCTCGACAAACGCCGAAGGACGCAAATGTTACTGCATCGTATTTCATCAAAGGAGCTCACATCGGTATGGTCTCGTGATGGTTTCGGGAACATGTGTGACACTACAGCTATCAAATCTACCAGGAGTAACAAACATTACAGCACCGCCACTTTGGAATCAGTATCTTAGGTGTTTTCACTTCTGTCATGATATTAAGTAGTGGGATTTTCTTGTGCTCATTAGGTCCTGTCGTCTTGCATCCAAGAATGCTTGTTTACTTTACCAGGGAAAACAATATGAACCGGATACATTACGTCTCTCTTCAAAACCGTTATAAATGAGTAGAATGACAACCTAATGAGATTTTGTATCCAGGCAAATTGACCCAAAAGTCTGCTATGCCGCGTTGTGCTGCTAACTAACCATATGATCAGTTTTGCTGCGAGAAAAGCTACTGAGCTAGACTTGTAACGTCAAGATACTGGGGAAACCGACAACTAATGTGTAGCAAATCTCCCCCCTCCAAATCTATTTTCGGGTTAGTACTTTTGGATGACTCAGTGACGGTTTGCCGCTCTGACAGCGTTTAAACAGGTCGCTAGCGTCCATTGTTTTTATGAAAGTCGCCTTTGACATTATCTGATATCCTGTTGAATCAGTGCCAAAATCTAGAAGTATTGAGAAACGGTATAGCTCACGGAAACAGAACAACGGTAACGTTCGACGTACTAATATTCCCGAATATCTGAACGTCAGCCGAGCTTTCGTGAAGGACCGACACTTAGAGATACGCGCACCACCAACGATTTCCTCAATCTGGTTTCGGATACGGACAGTAGCGTTCAATGTTTTATTGCCGAAGGAGTTTGCACCTTGGTTGTATATACATATACATATGTTAAATACATCGCAAACGACAAAACCATTGCAGTATGAGGTAATCGGAGCTGCGAGGGACTAGCACTTATCCAATTCAATCACGGTTTGTGCCATCTAATCGACCGAGGATAACCAAAATTTAAACCGCGTGCCAAATTGCAAGTGTGCATTGCAATCAGTTCACTTATCGATCATCACAAAACCCCAACATCAGTAAAACTACTTTGTACGGAGTTTATATTTGAAGTCGAACTAAGATACAGATCGCCCAAATAGAGTCACTAACGTAGGCCATTTATGGTGAGTCTAGATAATCTCAAAACAAACTTGATTTGGTGTTTTTATTGGTGTTTGGGTCTTACGAATGATGGGCAGTGTTTCCAGGAAAATAATGTAATAGGTTTTCAGAAGCTACATAAGCCATCGAAGTTAACTTGGCTGATACCCGAGGTGGGTGCGAGTATTTGGTTCAAGAACGCCATGGACCGCAGTAGCCTTTTAAATTCGGTAATGGTTGGATGAACTTTCTGTGTAGAGTATGAGTGGCTGATAATGCGCCTAGTGAAATAAACCAAGCTAAGGCATCTAACGCATTAACCTTATGAAGTGTTGGGTTGGAGGAACACCTATTTCTTTCCATAGAGTAGTAAAAGGTATACAATAGCTCGGAAATTGTTCTGATCGGCGTTTTCTTATCGACATGGCAGTGCAACTAAAGTTTAACATGGCATTGCTGAAAGCTAAAGGGACGAGAGGAATTGATAGTTCGGAAAATGAGAAAAAGGCGACCTTGGAGGTGTTTGCTTTTACAACAGCATTCTGTGCAACGCGATGGAAATCTAAACCTCCCACAAGCACAAAGGAATGAAACCACTTCGGAACGAATGTGAGTATGGAATGGAGTGAAATTCATGAGAAAAGTGGCAAACTACGGCTGCCCTCACCGTGCAGCTTGTCAGCTGCTATTTAGATCTAGTTAGGACTGTGATAAATGCGAAGTGAGCTTCGGGAGGCAAAAGTATACGTTATAATGGTATACGTAGCAGTCAAGGCCAGAAATATGACGGATGTCTCAGCAACTGGACATTGTATGCAATTTAACCTGCGAAGACAGCAGTTGTGTCCTATCAGAAAAATAAGCAACTAAATATCAAATGTGTTGCGGATGGAATCACTAGGATTGAAATCAAACAGGAAGCTACGAGGAGCTGCACAATTATAGCCGATGAAGAGCTGACGGTCTTGGTGCGCCTCTGACTATACAGCGTGAGCTTGTTAGATTTATATGAAGCTAAAAGTGCAGCGGAGATTGGTAAATTTTTCATACAACAATCAAGGTGTCTGCCGTTAACATCTAGGATGCTAAGTTGGTTTTGGAGTGCCAGTGTTGGGATGAGCAACACTATAATTTCCATCTAGGATGCTAGTTTCACCAGAGCTCAGGTTATCCCCACCTGTTGAGTTCAAAAGTGGACGAAACAGGTCGCGGGGTGTCAGTGTTGGGAGGAGCAACACCGAAGCACCTACATTCCACATTTTAGGTGCAAGTCGCCAGTGAAAAGAAAACCACCATAGGTCCGCAGACTGATCAATCCTCCGTGGCACAGGAAAATGCCCAAGGAATCGAGGATATTGGTTGAAGAGCTTGAGCACTAGATAATCGCTCATATCCTTTGTTTTGCACAGTAATCCGTCGGTGTCGACTGGAGAGATCCGGGGTGATATAAAAACTGTGACGCGTCAGACGGCATCATTTTATTGCGACTGTTAATGTAGCCGTTCTATGTAAACCTTCCTGATGAGGATGTTATTTGATTAGAGATAACCGCCTTCGAGCTTGTGTTGACATAATGAACAGTTGAAACAGTTCTGCGGCCCTACCTAAAACAGAAATGTACTAAGAGACATCATTGGTATGATGTTGTTCTTAACTGCCTCTTCAGTTTCATTAACGAGTAGTTTTCAGTCTACTACGGTCGTTTCACGAATTACATGAACCGTTGTTTTGAGGAGATAAAACCAAATTCTTATGGATCGCTTGATTTTATGTAATGTCGTTCGGAAACCAATTGAAATACTGTGGACGACCTATCCACACAGAATAACCAACCAAGTCTGTAGACTCGTAGGGAACAAAAGCAGGGAAAACTCAATAGATCAGTTTTAGCATCGCAAGAGTTTTCTGTGGAAATGAAAGCTGCTACTACCTGTATAAGCATTTGAAACAGATATACGTACTACGGTGGAGCGTAAGGATAGAAATAATATATGAAGTAGGAACTGACGAAGTAATTTAGAAGGCAGTTAACATATAGAAACCAATGGTGACTTTCAAAAGTGGCAATTCTGTAAGCGGTAATGAATTTAATAGATTCATATTTCTCAACTAGGAAGACTAGACACATCTAAAAATTGGGTGGAAATGTGTGCACAAACTAATCCGCGAAAGTGCCAATTACGGAGCAAGTGGACACAGAAGACGCATTTGATGACCACTAAGGAAAAAGCCTGAACACTTGGATCTAATGAGAGCTGGTGAGGGTAGTGCCCAACCTAGACACAAGGCATCAACTTAGTCTGGACAATGTCGAGATCATTAGGAAGGCAGGGTAAGCAAAGCAGCGAAGCCTAATCGCTGGGGCGATGAAAATAGGCAGTTATTAATTGTATGAAAACAATGAACTTGGTGGATTTGTCAACTGTTTGGCTGCCTGTTCCATATAGACCAGTCTGCGGAGCGTCAACAGGAAGTGCCAAAGCGGATGTCGAACCACCTCCACCGCTGTCGTCATTGTCGGTGATTCATGTGTGAACTGCTTTCGGTGCAGCCCAATCGCAACATTATATCAGTGTCTCAGACAAAACACAATACAAGATGTGTAGTAGTGAGAATTTGGGTGTAATTCAACTAATTCCTCGGTATCACCCCAAATCAGCAGGCTTAGGCTAGTCTGGAAAAGCACCAAACGTCGGCGTTTCGACCTTCTGGGTCTCGTTGGTGATGCGCCTCCCGGCCGACCCCTGCAGGGTTCCGCCCCATGACTTCTGGATGTCAGCAGCTAGTGCCACTTCGCCATGGGTGACAGTCACGGACCTGCGTGCTTGACAGGTGACTTTGCTACCAGACTTCCGGAGTGGAAAAAAACCATGCCTCTCCTTTTGCAGCCAAGTGGCCAACTTGTATAGTAATTTACGGTTAACACTGCAGTTGTTAGATTTTGCTGACATCTGGCTCTGTCTTCTCTGACCAGTTGGGCGTAGAGGTTGCGTTGGGCTACATGTTTGTCCCAAGTAGCTGGCTTCAGGGGTAAGCTATACACTCACTGTGCTGCATTGTGTACTGTCATACAGTTTCGTGCTCTGCCTCCTAAAAAT